CGGGCTCCCAGCGTCGGTCAGGTTGAGGAACGTGCTGAGGAACGTCCGCTGTACCTCGTCGTTACTGTGGTCCCAGATGTAGGTTGTTAGGTTTGGAAACATGCTGCCTCCCGTGCTGCCACGTCCCGAGACACGCCATTTGGGATGCATAGCGATGTTGGAAGAGTATCGAAAGAAGGGGAGAGCCGCGTCCATGTTTTGATAGTAGAGGATTGTCGTGGATCTGTTGAGACGCTTGAGTTCCGCAGCCGCGGCGATGTAGTGCCCGTCAATGTAGCCCTTGCGAGGCCGATACCCTGCAGGTCCCCGTGGCTCATACGCCTCCGGCCCTTGGCCCTGACAGTGCTCAAGCACGATGAGAGGAAAGTGGCGAGTCAGCCACTTGGCACGTGCGGGCGAAAACTCGCGCGTGAATGAGGCGTTGACCTCGCAGAGCTGCTGGAAGAGGGGCACCGAGGACCACGAGAAGGCGGGGGAAGCTGGCGACAGCGTGGCGGGCCGGCTCGATGATGACGCCGTCGTTCACTAGCGTACGTCCCCGGATGCCAGCCAGACGGATGCCAGCCAGAGTGTGATCTGTGATCTGTGAGGGTCCGCCCGCAGGCGCATTTTGTATACCGAGGCGGTGCCCGGTGCCGAACCTGTCGGACCTTAAGACAGCGTTGTAGATCCCTGGGCGAGGGTGGTGGAGAGGGCGGTCCGTCGGCGCCAAACCACCTCCCACCGAGGTGGGCAGGTTCCACGCGTTCCCGGACCGCCCCGTTGGAGGTAGGCCGCTCGTCTAGCCAATCAGCCTTAAGCGAGCGGCCTGGCCGTTGGAATGGCCCAAGACCGGTCCCCGTCGGGAGGGATCGTCTGGCGGAGGTGATCCTCAAGAGGTGATCTACCGTCACCTCGCCGGCGTGCCCGGCGAGTTCGGCTTAGATCTCCCCTCCCGCGCCAGACAGTCCCTGTGGTGGTCACGCGGCCTCTGGCTGGAACGGGATCTACCTCGCAAGCGAGTCACCCGGGCCGGCGCGCGTCTTCCGGGAGAGGGGCGGGAGCGAGGGACCTCCTTAGTAAGCCGGCATGCAGGCGCATGCGCGGCCGTTCAGAAACTTTCCCGGCCGCTGGAATGGCTGCGCTCCCGCCCCTCACGCCGGGTTGAGGGGAGGACGACTGTCTCCGCAGGCGGACCTCAGTTACGAGCCGCCCTCCCCTCGAGACGCGAGGCCAGCGCACTCGGGGCCGAGCCCCAGCGTGCACCGTCCCACACGCCTCACGCGGCCTCTGGCTGGAACGGGATCGCAAGCGAGTCCCCCAGGCCGGCGCGCGTCTTCCGAGAGAGGAGCGGGAGCGAGGGACCTTCTTAGTTGTCCGGCATGCAGACGCATGCACGGCCGTTCAGAAATTTTCCCAGCCGTTGGAATGGCTGCGCTCCCGCCCCTCACCGGGCCGCGAACGGGTAGTAGACGTTGGCGCCGAAGAGGGAGGAGTCGCCGAAGGTCGGGTAGTCGTCGGTCATGCGGGGGGAGGAGGAGTCGGCGAGCAGCAGGGAGGAGAAATGCCTGAGAGGGTTGGGAGGGAGGCGTGAGGCGCAAGGTGAGGGGCGTGGGGGCGCGGGGCGCGGGGCGTGCGTGGGACGCGAGGCGTGAGGCGCAGGGCGTGGGGCGGGAGGGCGCGGGGCGCTCGAGTGAGGGCAGGGTGTGTTGTGTGTGTGTGTGAATGTGTGTGTGTGTTGTGTGTATGTGTGTGTTGGTTTGTTTGTGCGAGGGCTGGGCGGGGCAAGGCAGGGCGGCGGCGAGCGGCGAGCGGCGTCGGCGAGTTCGGCGACGAAGAGAGGCGATGGTGACGTACACGGCGGCAGCGTTCACGGCAGCAGCGCCGGTGGCGGCCCCGCGCGGCAGCGGCGGCGCCCTGAGTGAGGCAGACTGCCCTCCACAGCCTGCTGGGAATGCTCCCGACGAGCGGCGCGCCATGCGGGCCCACCGCGGGCGACGCGGGCGGCGAGCCGACACGCGTGTCGCCGGCGTAGACAGCACTGGCGAAGCGAGGCGGCTGGCGCCGGCCCCGGAGGCGGCTGCAGTAAGAGCAGCGAGGCAGAAGTCACTGTCCATAGCGTACTGAGCAGGCTGCCATCGAGCAGCGCGCCATGCGGGCCTGCCGCCGGCGACGAGATTGGAGAGCCGACAGGCATCGAAGGGGTAGGTACTGAGGAGGGCCATCGCGCCCGAGGCGGTCCGCGCCGGCCCTGCAGGCCGTCTCAGAGAGCCTGGCGAGGCTGTACAGAATGCCGAGAGCATACTGGGCAGGCTGCCGTCGAGCGACGAGCCATGCTGGCTCGTCGCAGGCGGTGAGGTCGAGGAGCCGATCGGAGCGCCGCAGAGGCTGCCGACCACTGCCGTTCGCCCTCGGGCCCAGGGGTGGAAGGCAAGCTTCCTGGCGTTTCTGGCGAGCGTCCAGACGTCGCAGAGCATCCGGCAGGCGCGCAGCGACCCAAATTTTTGCTCACCGCACGGCCGTGCGAGCCGTCGGTCGGTGGTGATGGTCGGCGTCGGCGCGCGCCGCCCAACGCGGCGGCGGTGGGCGTCATGTGGCGGGCGTGGGAAAGAGCATTGTCCGAATTGCGGCGACGTCCCTTCTCTCCCTCAGCCAGAGTGTGCCTATCGTGTGACGTCTCTCTCCGCCTCACTTGTCGTGTGTCTCTCTCTCACCACCCATACCGCCTGGTGTCCAGTCGCTGGTGAATGTGTTTTCACCCGTTCCTCGCAGCACGGGACTGGCGCGCACTGGCACACTACCTCAGCTCTGAGAGAGAGAGATTTTTAGAAGCCAACCAGCTCTGTGTCTTGATTTGCCAACAACATACCTAAAACCTCAGGTCACCTAAAGAAGAAAACGACCGACGGTGTTCCGCCACGCCCGTCCTCGCACTTCTTCTCCCATTGTAAAATTCTTCTCGCCTGCGCCTTGCCTGTCGCGTGAATCGTGCTGCGCGACCGCGTTGCTCGTAAAATTCTTTTGTGTTAGTGCCAGTGCGCGCCAGTCCCGTGCCCAGTGTCGTGCGAGGGAGATTGAAAATTCCTCTTCCCCCCCCACACACCCCGCCCCCCCCACTTTTGTTCCCGTTGCTGCACTGCGCGTTGCGCACTAAAAGCCCCGCGAAGCCGCGCTCGCGCCGCTCACGCTCAGTATGTCGGCCACCTTCCTCGCATCGTGCACGCAGCGCGCTGCGGACGCCGACGGCCCGGAGACGGACCTCTCCTCCCTTCCTGTGGAGGCCGTCGGCCGCTGCCTCGCGCCGCGCACCATGCGGGAGGGCGGCGCCCCCGCGACTGTGGTCTGCACAGCGCCGAGGGGCGACGACTGCACCGCGTGCGCAGAAGGGCCAGCCACCAACGCCGCGCACTCTCGCGCGAGGAAGAGCGGTGCGGATGCTCCGATCCTGCGGCTCGACAACGACGCTCTTGCCTACATCTTTGCGCTTGTCATGGAAGCAAAGAGCGTACGTGTGACTAACCATGGCAAAGCCAAGTCGCGCAAGAATGCCTTTCTCGCCAAACTCGAGTTCTCCACCGTGTGTTCTCGGTTTAAGCAGGTGGCTTTCTTTGCCCACTCATCGTTCCCATGGTTCTGGCCATCCTTACATTGCAGAGCGGAACAGGCACTTTATCGGCCCCCTCTTGCCACGGGTGCGGGCCCTCTCCAATGCGAACGTGATGTCGGCGGGAACCTCCCACATCTTGCACGACAGTGAGGAAGGGCCAATGGAATGGAGAAACAAGTACCTGCTGCGCCGGAACGCGGCGCTCGAGGCGGCGGGATTCGTGTACTAGGGATTTTGGGGCGCTTGATGAGGGAGCCGTGTACGTTGCGGGGCCTCGGTGAACCTGAGCGGTGACTGCTGAATTCACTTCTGAGTTCTCTTGAACGTCTCGGAAGAGCCGTACATGCGTATCTCCTTGTCCTATCTGGCACAAAACAGGTGCTGAGTACTGCGCTTAGAGACGATCGATTCATACACGCAGCGATACAGCATCGCAATCGGCCTTGTCGCTTGTGTTTGTACAATTTTGCTGTACCAGGTCGTAGCGCGCTAAAGCCGTAGCGGCTAGCGCTGTAGCGGGGTGCGTGTCTGCGTGAGCGAGAGGGAGAGGGGAGAGGGACTTGGGACCCCTAGGCTTAAAAGGGTGGGCCCTGGGGCGCCTGCGGCTTAAACGCAAAACCGGCTCAGCCTTGTGATTTCTTTTTTTCAGCGCGCCGCCTTCCAGAAGCACCTTGCCGTGCCCAGGCGCTCAGCATGCCCGGGCTGCTGGCGCTGCTCCAAGCTGCCGCCCTGCTGCAGCCTTACATCTCCGATGGTGCGCAGTGCACCCGGCCGGGGGAGGACGTGCGGCTCGTCCAATATTCGATCAAGGATGGAGATCGTTGCGAGGAGCCCGGCGACGGCTTCTCGCGCCCGAGCTACTATGGCACAGAGGGCTACAACTATTGCTGGCACGTCCGAAACCTAAACGAGCGCGAGCCAGAGCTGAAGCCCAACACCGGGATGCTCACCATCGCCGACACATGCTCCAGTAACACTGACGAGAGCCGTAAATCTCTCGTGATTGGGGCGCCCGCGCCGCTGGACGCAAACGACCCGTCGTCGATCCTCATAGTCGAGCTGCGACAAGACTGCTCCTTCTTTTCGACGCTGGTCAGAGAGCGCGGCGGTATCCGAGTGGGCAACGAGACGTACGACCTCCAGTGCGTCATCATTGGCGACAGCTCAAACCCGCTCCAAGTCACCAACAGCACCTCGCGGCTCGTGCTCGACTTTCAGCCCGACTTTTTGGTAACGCCGCGAGGGTCGTTGATGACGGAACACGCCTCGAAGCAGGCGGTCCTCGACGGCAGGGCCCTGCTTTCGCCCGCCGGCTCAAGCCCCAGGATTTACTCCGAGGCGGCGGCCCTGGCGGGAGAGGTGGGCGCGGGGGCGAGAACGCTGGCGTTCGGCCTGCAGCCACCGACCGAGACGTACGCTCGTCGAGGCTTGGAGGCGGTCTTCGATGCGGCAAGGCAGTTTGACGCAAACTGCTCTCTACCAGGTCGGCGCCAGCTCGGAGAAGCCACCAACTTCTCAGCGCGGCTGGGCGCCGCGCCCCGCACGGCAGCGCCGGAACGTGATCCGTGCGAGCTAGCCTCGCGGTGCGAAGCGGGCTCGTGCGTGAAGAGTCTGAAGCTGGGTGTGGTCCTCGAGAACTCCAGCTACAGCTTCCCCGTCCGGGATATGTGCGGCAACGCGACCGCGCTGTGGACCTCCCTTGGCGGCGTGGCCAATGTCTCGACCGCCGTCATCGCGGGGCGCAGGAATTCCGGCCTTGAGTACGTGCAAGCCTCGAGGGACGTGGACGACGCCGCGTACGAGAGCAGCCTGGCGTCGGCGCTGGCGCAGCTCAGGGATGACGGGGCGACGGTGGTGCTCGTCTGCTCTCCCGGTGCCGTGGAGGTGCCAAACATCATGCGGAACCTGAGCTACGCTCCGCTCGCCACCATCCTCACCACCTCGCTCTACAAGTCGAGGTATCGAACCCGGATGGCGGAGGGCTGGTGGGAGGGCGAGTACTTCTTGGAGACCTACCCCTGGGACAGGGCGCTGCCGGGGCCGAAGGGCGCCTTCACCAACTTGACCTCCCGAGAGTACCACGACAGATTTCGAGTCGAGTTTGACACCGCGCCAGGGCGGCACAGCGCAATCACGATCGCCGCCCTGTCGGCGCTGGCGTACGCGATCGAGTCGACTGGCTCGCTCAACACGTCGGCCGTCACCGAGGCGCTCCTGAGCTCCGAGCTGCCCGAGTTCTTTGGCAACATCTCGTTTGACGCCCACGGCCAGCAGGACGCTGCGCTCGCCGCCTTCCCCGTGATCCAGTACCTCCCCTTCAGCACGAGAAAGGGGGTGCTGGACGGGGTTGAGCTTCCGTTGGCTGACGTGGTCGACTATTCGGGGTGGGGCGAGACGATTCGGGAGGTTGCCTTTCCGATGCCAACCTGGGAACTCAGAGAGTGCCGCCGCGCCGACCCCTGTGGCGCGAACGGCTGGTGCAAGCAGGATGGCCCGGGCAGAGCCATATGCGAGTGCGAGGAGGGCTTTGAGTCGGTTGATGGTGGGCGCTGCTCTGAGTACCTGCCATCGCCTCCGCCTTCGCCTCCGCCGCCCCCAAAGGAGGAGGGGATCAACTTCCCGTACTACGCGATCGGCATCGCGTGCGTCGCCTTCCTGCTCCTCTTCCTCTCTCTCTGGGCGGTGCTGCGCCGAAAGAACGCGTACCAGACGCAGATCACCTTTGCCGAGAGGGAATTCGCGCGCTGGCAGGATCGCCACCGCGCTCGTCCCTCCCGTCGCCGCCGCCCTCATCGCAAGGAGAAGGCTGACCTTACCTCATTGTTCCCGCAGGTCGACCCAAAGGCGCGGCGGCGCTCCAACCTCTCCGGAAGGCAACTGACCAGCCTTGTCCAGCGGGCGGGCTGCTGCGGCGGAGACGCCCTTGACGAGGAGACGCTGACTCGCAGCCGCGCGCGCGTGGTCGCCGCGCCGTCGGTCCCGCACGACGTGTTCCACTGCTTCGTGAGCCACGCGTGGGCGAGCGGGCAGGACCAGGCGCGGTCGGTCAAGGGGCAGCTGCAGCGGTACGTCCAGAACATCCAGGTCTTCCTCGACGTCGACAACCTCGAGGACATCTCCCGGCTCGGCGAGTACGTCGGCAACTCGAGCGCGCTGGTGGTCTTT